CGCAATCGGTGGGCTGACTCCCCACAGAGTCTTAATGCGATCCTACGGATTGCAATCCCACCTGCCGCCTTCCTCTCGTAACCAGGATTAAACTGAGAGTGAGAAGGGCAGAAGAAGAGACATTAAGACCCTCAGATACAAGAGAGGTGCGCTCAAACTTGCGCGAGAGGCCCTTGTTACCTTCCTTCGCCTGAGGGCCCCGCAATGATGACTGATAACCACAGCAGCTAGTGCTGCGTTAAAATAAATGAAGCATTGATTGACGTCTGCCGTAACACATAGGGTAAACGCAGGAGTTCGCCATGCGGATGACTGTCGAGGCTAAGTACTCGCCACGCCCTCCTGTGGTCGTCGTCAATGTCAAGGTGAGAGCCGGCTTCATGGCTCAACTTAGTCCGTTGTATCCATCCGCCCAATCGACTAACTGACTGACACCGACTGAACGCACAACAGTAGTGCTGGTACACAGACTGTTCCAAAAGCCCGACCAGCAGCATGCACCTAGGGCTGAGCAAACTCAGGGATGAGCTTAGCCGCTCATATCATGGCAGAGCGTTGTGCAAAGAGGGCAATTCCTTTCTGCCTCTCCTTACTTGCAAGCATCCTATCTCCACCATTACACTCAGGTTCTACTCTCCAATTCAAGCTGATGCAAGGGATATTAGCCGGAGCGACAAACAAGAATTTAAGCTGCTAAACGACGAAAGTAGCCAGGTAGTCGTGTATCATGCAGAAAGCGCAATGCACTAAGATACCATCCCAAATAAGAGCAGCACGGCCAATTCGAGCGCAAAATACAGACACTTTCTGGTCACACTCACACCGTATCTAATATCTCTCTTACTGTTTGGCGCCCAGCGCCCAGCCTATGGCACTCAATCTAGCTAGCCTATCTATGTTCATGAGACTGGGCCGCATCGAAGTTGAAGACCAACGTACGTGACGTCGCCACCAATGCCAACCACCTGTATACATCAGGTACGTTTTTTCCCCTCCAATCGCCTTTCTCCGCTTTTTAGCTTCTCCTCTCTGCTAATCCCCCCTTGTAGCATCTCTCCTTTCTCTTTCTGTATCATTCCCTCTGCAAAGCCATGCCCGTGCCCCTCGTCAAAACCCGATGCAAATGCAGACCAAGGCGCTATCAAAAGTAGACACCACCGTGCATGCTCAAAGAGAACTAGAGAGATGCGACTTTTACGGATAGAAAGAAAGGAACAACGTGGGAGCGAATCTACCACCGAAACACGGCCATATGCATTTGCAGTTTACTAGCCCACTCCCGGGCGTCGCTCCCACTATTCGCAACACAAATTCCACTCACTTAGCTCTCAATTTGAGCCCGCCATCGGACTCGAAACGTCTCAAATCCTTAGTGTAAGGTTTCTTTTCGTCGACATAGATAAAGGAATGACCCGCATTCCACGTTTTTTCGTCTTCCCCCCTCATCCGCCATCTCCATCCTCCGCGCAGCCCATCCCTTCACTAACTTCTAATCTACTAATTCCCTACTCAATCTAACCTCGGATTCGGATCCGCCTATCTCCAAAACCCCGATTTAGGCTGCCCCCTTCCTCAAATTCGTAAAGAAACGAGTAAGATAATAGTTTCTTCACCTTGTCGTGCTTGCTCCCGCCATAGCCCCGGCGCACCATCCTTCTTTTTAACTCTCATTTCTACTAACCTATCATCAAAACTAACACTACCATCAAAATCGCCCTACCTAAAAACCATTATTCCGATCTCTGCCCCACTTGATTCCATCGAGAATCGAGTGACATCTCGATTTTTCTTCTCGTCCATTCTCCCCTCCACCATAGCCCATCGCACCTCCTACCTCCACTAACCCACGTTTTACTAACCTTATGCTAAAACTGACCCCGCCATCGTACTCACCCGACCCTCAAAGCTCAGACTCGACTCTCTCCTTAGTCGATTCCGATAATAAGCGAGTGAGTTAAGCCTTTCCTACTGCGCTTCTCCATTTCTCCTCACTGCTGTTATCTCCAACTGAATCCGACGCGAAAGCACGCCCCGGTTCATTCCACCAGCTCATTCCCCCCCCCTCACTGCCTTAGCGCCTGTCTTCCTTCCCGCGATGGGCAGCCCAGAGCTTTCCCGTGCGCCTTGTCTCTCCCCTGTTTTTCGTCACCTCCTCCTTTGTCTGCGTATATCCGGCGTCGCTTCGGGCCCAGGTCCATTTTGTCGTGGGCGCCTCTATTTCTCAGCGCTAAACTGCTCACCGCAGCGGTGCGGATTGAAACAGCCAGCAAGTCGGTAATCCTGAAGAGCCGCAGTCATCCAAGGAGTGTGTAAGCACCCATCTGCCGGATCTATCATCCCTGACGATGGGTAACACTGGAGCAGGCGGGGCCAATGCTTGGTCGTCGTGACCCTGATGCTACGCTGAGTAGGAGAGCACGGGCCCGCTGCTAGACCTGCAGCGTGGGCCCAGGTAATGCGGGTCCCAGTGCAGCTTGGCAGTAGTAACAAATGTTCCGGTGAAGCACTTATTTCGAATTCACGACCCGTCCCCCCCTGGTTCTCAGCCCCTGCTGATTTGCATGCACGTTGAATCTACGGGCCACTGTTTTTAAGATACACGGAATTAGAGAGGTTTCGTCGGCATCCCGGAGACGTAGGAACCCACCGGGCAACCTAAGGAGGTCTACACTCAAGGTACTCGGCTGCCGCGACGGCCTCGAAATCCAGCCTTGCGTCCGAGTCAAGAAACGCCGAACCAAAATAATAATAGCACGACGATAAGTAACAAAAATATTTTAGAACTTTTTACTTGTCAGAATGTAATGAATGAGGAAAAAGAATACGCTAGCACCGTCTCAACGCCACCAATGGCAGACCCAAGGGGAATAGCCCCATCGGGCCCCCAACCCCTCGGTCCGTTCACGCTACTATGATATCCCCTCATCGTCGTCGCACGACCTCGATCCCTGAATCTCTCTGATAAAAGTCCGACGCTGCGACTAATAACAGTAGGCCCAAGTCTGGGTCCAACTTTTGACGGACACCTTAAATAAGCGAACTCTGCGTGACACGTAGTTCTCCCAAAGCACCTCCAAAAGTCACGTTGTCGTCGATGTCGTCCTCCACACGTACACATAGGTCACAAATAAACACACCAATCAGGAGACAAAATCTGTTCAGTCTAAACTTAATCAGCAAGATAAAAAATACGGTCGGCGACCAACGCCGACTTTCACAATCATTAATCAAAAATAAAGATAACGCGTGCCTTAAGTCTGCGCGCCCACACACTCCCTGCTCTAGTCAACCATCAATCAACGTAAACCACGGATGCAGTCGCACCTCTCGCGATATACTTAAAACTTTAACCAAACTTATTTATGTCACTTGCAAAAATCAGGGCGGATACCCTTGTAAGGGTATTCGCACCAACACCGGCTGCACTCAACAGGAAGGGATTTGCTTTATTTGTTTATTGCAAAATCATGAAAATCTAGCATGACGGTTTGCTATTTTCTGAATAGCACGGCAGTTCCACCCGGATATGTTGCCCGAAATATCTGGAATTTTTGATAACGTGGAAAAGGGCTAGAAAAATTTTAACGTCTGGCCAATCCTGCCCCGCTGGACACCCGGAGGAGTCTCACGCCTAGGGTACTCGGGCATGTAAAAATAAATAAAACAAAAATCATGTGCGCTCTTAGAGGACCCAAAATCCATGTTCATTTCTTTTTTTGCGAGTCGGATGTCAAGAGGAGGGGAAAGGGGGTATAAATTGGTTTGAAAGGGGCTAAAGGGGTTTAAAGGGGGGTGCCTTAGTGTGGTTCTGTTATTTTTTTTTTTTTATCTCTGATTATGTGAGGAATTTTAATGTGACCCTCAACCAAAAGTCGTTTGTATT